AGGCTACACTGACTAAACAACATTAGGCTACACTGACTAAACAACATTAGGCTACATTGACTAAACAACATTAGGCTACACTGACTAAACAACATTAGGCTACACTGACTAAACAACATTAGGCTACATTGACTAAACAACATTAGGCTACACTGACTAAACAACATTAGGCTACATTCATTGCCAAGACACCATTAGGCTACATTGACTAAACAACATTAGGCTACATTCATTGCCAAGACAAACAAAAACCAACTAAATCTAAACAGTGTTTTTTCTATAAATAAATCTTAAGATGATCTTAAAGTTTATTTGTGATTCTTGTTATTTCAGATTAGGAGTTACAATCCAGATCAAAGGACTGAATCCTGGTTTAATACAGATGTTGGATGAACCCTGACCTTTGACCTCTGACAGCAACTCAAGGAATATTTCATCAGATCAATCAATAACATAAAACAGGTTTTACTAAAACGTCATTAGAAATTATTTTAAAGACAAACTGAATTCTTTCAGTCATCCCACAGTCAGAAACTGTCACCTGAAGTCCAGCTAACCTTAACCTGACCTGATTAAACTGAATCAAGGTGAAGTTCAGCCTGAAGCTGACAGCCAATCACAGCTCTTCTTCTTGTTTTCTCTCCTCTCCCACCTGAATCGTGCCGTTGCTCTCATCCTCACTCCTCGTCTTCCTCCATCTCTCTCACTCTCACCATCGGCCACACGCCGCCTCACCTGCCTCAGCAGGTTGCGCTCCTGCCGCGTGCCGCCGCCGTCACCGCGGCGTTGGCGGAAGAATCTCACCATGAAGGAGTGTTTGACGCAGAGTTTGACGCAGAGTTTGCAGCCGGTTGCCGACACATCAGAACAGAAAGAGAGCAACAGAGAAGAAGAAACGACGAGTGTGCAGAGCCTCAGCACAAAGTGACAGATGGTGAGGTGTTAAAGCTGACAGGCCCCGCCCCCTCACCTTCCTCACAGTCTAATAAAAGACGGGAGATTAGAGTCGGCAGCACGCAGACGAATCCTGATTAATGATTATCAGTCACATTCTGCTCAGCACATCAATACAGCTATTGATCAAAGAAAACAGGTTAGCAGGTCAAACGGGTCAGTTTGGTCAAATCAGAACCGTTCTGCTCAGCCTAGTTACGGTCTGACCAATCAGATCAGACTATTTGTTTCTGGACCAATCAGGAAACAGGAAGCAGGCCGCATGACTGGTCAGTATGACATCATGGTCACCTTTCACCCAGTTAACCAATCAGATCGCTCAGTTCAGTCAAGTGTCAGTTTGTGTTTCAGTGATGTCATCAGTTCTCTTCAAATTCACACCATTAACACAGAGGAGGAGGAGCTTAACTCAGACAAATCAGCTTTAATACTTTCTGATCACTCTATAAGCCCCTCCCCTCATGATTCTGATCACTCTATAAGCCCCTCCCCTCATGTTTCTGATCAGTCTATAAGCCCCTCCCCTCATGTTTCTGACAACTCTATAAGCCCCTCCCCTCATGTTTCTGATCAGTCTATAAGCCCCTCCCCTCATGTTTCCGACAACTCTATAAGCCCCTCCCCTCATGTTTCTAACAACTCTATAAGCCCCTCCCCTCATGTTTCTGATCA